ACAATGGTCGAAGCATCAGTCTGCGTCCAAACCACAAGCATTTGTTTGAGATCACTTGGAATCAGCGAATATTCGAGCTATGCATAGACAACGTCGGCATATCTCGCGCCAGAGTTTCAGTGCAAGGTTACGAATCAGTGGCCCCCCTGGCGCAAGTCTTCGTGTGGATTTTTACGAATGGTCGCACGCAGCCAAACGATCCTTCTTTCCATCCGCTGCCTTCTGCAGCGCAAGTGGACGCCCGCATCACATGTGCGTTGTGTGAGCGGGATTACACATTGGCCCGACCGCAGTGGTCAACGTGTCCGCTGTGCTTGTCTTGGATTTGCAGCGATCATATTCCGCGGGCACCTTATCGAAAATGTCCGAATTGCCCGAACCAGCTGCTGGACTACGTTGGTGGAAGCACTACACACATCGTGTACGTCTCTTGAGAATGATTTATTTATTGTTTGGATATACATAGAGATGAAAACAAAGAGCTCAAACATAAGTCCATAAGAACACAAGAGAGACTGTAAATTATTCATTGAAAGTGGCGAGTCATACATAGACGAGGAAGCTTCTGCGTCAGCTTTCACTGAACAAGATTATTGTGGAGGGTCGTCGTCGTCGTCTTCAGCACGCCGCCAGACTCCCATGACCAAGGTCTTTCTATACTTGCCAGCATGCACGTTCTCATGCTGGCTACACAAGCGAAGTTTGCTTTTGCTGCCTTAGCTTTAGCGAAAGAATAATAAAGACTTTTTTTTTCTACTCAGACATCTCAGGTGAGTTCCAGTTTCCCTTGAATACGTTGGTTGGCAATGTCTTGAACGAGCCCTCGCCAACGCTTCCTGTGTTCCAGGTGCCAGATGATCATGCGACCAGAGACGTCTCCACAATTGCTTCCTGCAGCAGGTTGAAGGATCTTCACGCTGCCCCACAGGACGCGAAGATTCGATTCGAGCACGAAGATCACAAATATTTCTTTGAAGGAACTGTGATTGCGAGAAGCGTGCCTTGTCTGAAAGCAAAGCCTTTTGTGAGGACTGATCTACAGCTTCTTGCAGAGTATTTTTTAACGGCCCTTTTTTGTATGCGCAGCTCAGGTCACTGGACTCATTCGCGAGTTTACAGAGCCCTTTGATCCTGAAGAAGCACTCGCAAAAATGAAAGCCGGCAAGAATTGGCCCAGGACCGACTACTTATCGCCTGATCTGAACGTCGATGCTTTCGCGCAGATGCTTGCAGCTGTGGATTTCGATGGCAAAGAAGAAGCGTTGCAGGTTTTGAGCACAGCACTTCCCGATCTTGAGAAGCTATGCAAAATACTTGCAGAGGCTCGTGAATCAGGTATTGCTGACTTGGCAGAACTTATCGACTTCATGGTTCTGGCGGACAATGAGATTATCGGTTTGTGGCTGCAAAAGAGGAACACGGCTGCAAACTCAGGTACCTGGATGCATGCGATGTTAGAGCACACGCTGAATGGTTTTCAAATACAGCCAGGTGTTATGGAAACGGAGCTTGGTCATGCTATGCAATTCTTGGCAGAACACGCTGACTGCACAGTTTTTCGCACAGAATGGGCAATACACGCGCCCCGAGAAAATTTGGCTGGCTCCATCGACCTTGTGTTGTACAAGCCCAGTCTTGAAAAGTACATCCTCGTGGACTGGAAGAGAAGCGAAAAGCTCTCGCACAAGTATTCGAGCTTTGGAAAGACGATGCAGCATCCTCTCGAACATGTACCAGACTGCCAAGGCGAGCAATACAGGCTGCAACTTAACATCTATAGATGGATATTGGAGGCGTACTACGACGTTTCAGTCAGCGAAATGTATGTCGTCTGTACTCACCCAGTTCACAGCCCTCGACCTTTCTTGGATCTTGTTCCTGACATGCAAGAAGCTGTGTCGATACTGATGCAGCATGTTCGAGATTCTGACTTAGCAGATGAAGAAGCACAAGGTTTCCGCGCCTTGGAAGAGAATGTGTCTCCGACAATACCATTCGAGGTAGTTTTGCCTAGCCACAGTGGAGCAGAGATGCACACTCAAGACGAGCTCGCTGTGGCGCTTGGAGGGCTTCTGGACGAAGATGACGCACAAATTCCTAGTGCAGCTAAGAAAAGAAGACTCATGCCAGGAGCGGCCGAGTCCATAGCAAAATTTTCGCAGAGTTTTGCTAAGGCAGCTGCCATCAATGCCGATGAACTCGACACCTGCGTGCCAGACGTACCGCAAGATGGCTTAGCAATACTGACACACACGCGAGCTATGCTGCAGGAACTGAAAAATAGATTTCCAGCGTGTGCAGAGCAGTCTCATCGCATCATTCTCTTGGCAGCACACATAGCCGAAAGCAAGATTCCGGACAGGCCCATGCTTACTGATCTGGCAGCAGTTGCATGGCTGGTCGAGGGCGAAAGACACATGAGAGTGCATAAAGGATTCCTTTGGATCTTTAACGGCGACGGTTCCTTCCTACCTTTTTCCGGAATTCCTCCAGAAGCTGTTCTACATCGACTTGGCTTGTTCTTTAAAATTCTGGAAGGCTCTTTCAAGCGCCTGAAAGAAAGCGTTCGCAGGGAACATTGGTGTGTGGCGAACAGCATTATGGCTGATATTCAGAATTTCGAAACAGAGGAAGATTATTATCGTGCTTGCATAGAAGCAGCCCAACTACATGCGCGCTCAGACAACATTGAGGAAGCAGAAGCGCGAGTGGAAGGTCTCGAAGAAGATGCGGATGGGAGCGTTGCTGTTATGGATCAACCACAGCGTCGAGGAAGAGCAGCTGCAAAGCCTTGGACAATTCATGCAGCTGAAAAGGCATGGAAATTATGCCAGTGCTTGAAGGCAGAGTTCATGCACACCAAGATTATTGCGCTCATCGTGGAATGGTGTGAAACAGAAGATCAACGTCGACCTGCTGTGTGTTACACAGACAGCTGCTTTGTTTATGACGCGGACCCCGCCCTCCACGTGAAGCAGGTAAAAAAGAGTCCGAGCAACAACTGTTACATTTCAATCCCACATGCTCTTCTTGATCCTGTGCTGGAAGAGAACCAGAGGCGGCTATATCGTTTTTACGAGCGAACATTTTGGGCAAACCACGACGTGTTTATTTGCTGCCAGGCCGCTATCGCTCTGGCCAAGCGCGGCCTCAACATCGATCGTTGCTTTATAGGAATATCTCCAGGTGGAGTTGGTCAAAGTCTATTTTCTCAACACATTGCTGAAATGTATGGCCACAATCACGCGTTCTTCGATCCGAACATCTGGCATATCGAGGAAGAGCTGCGCAAGCAAGTGGAGTCTTTCGCCAGATGCTTTGTCATCACAGGTCAAGAAGCGCCGGAATCGTCAAAGAAGATGCACCTGGACCTTTTCAAGAAGACAATGTCCGGCGACGGCGTGATGGGTCGCAAACCGTATGGTTACACGACTCGAATGTTCAGCATTATTGGCTGGAAACGTCTAGAGGTGAATCGCCTCATGCACTTCGTAGGCGTCAACACGGGCAACTTCAACTCTATATTTCGCAGAGCGTTCATCTACGTCCTCAAAGCTCGGTTTATTCATGAAAAGTTTCTGGCAAAGTATCCAGATCACGAATTGGACGGCATTTTTGCTGCTGATTATTCTTTGAGCAAGTATATTCCACAATCACAATGTTGCCTGGCTGGCTTGCGTTTTCAATGGGCTTTTGAGCGAGAATATAATCTAGAAGATTGCTACAGGGTCATTGAAGACTACGTGAACGGCGGCGATGGCTACCTGACGGAGGACATGATGCGCGCCGCTTGCAATCTTCCGGTGCGACAGAGACATGCAGATGTAGGAGATGCAGGCATTGGCAATCTCCTTGCAGGCGATAAAACACTTCAGGAGGAAGAAACCCGTAAACAGAGCGAGTGGTCAAGCTTTCAGATTTTCCTGATGAGCAAAATGCTGGATATGTCCAAGGAGACGTTATCTTTCCATGAGTTCAAAACGAAAATAAGCTTGAAAGATCGGCAAGCGCCAAACATGCCAAAGGATCAACTCTGGGACGAAATGCTGCGGAAGGACATCGTCAGGGAAGCCATTGTCACGGGCAAGACTAGCAAGGCGCGTGGCGGTCGTTATATACCAAGACTGGATCTCCAGAAACGTCTTGAGGACATCTGCGACGTCAAGAAGGATGGCGTTCGCTTGCTTTTTGAGGAGCAGCATGATGTGGCACGATTGCAGCTTTTCGCCACTGGTTGTGCTTGGCGATCTTTGAACGTAGAGGTCATGCAAGAGTACTACGCTGCCGTTCAAAAGGGTTTGCAAAGCAAAAAGGCAGGCAGAAAAGCTACTTCCGAAGTCGCCAAGATCAATTCTGTTGAGGATTCAAGCAAGAAGATCAAAGAGCGTGAAGACAGCATCGGACGCATCATCCGTGGAGAAATTCGTCCTCCAAATTCTCCTCGTGTGAAGAGACGAAAACACGGCAAGCGTGCGCAGGAGGAGGTTGAGGACGAGCCGTCGGCTGACATTGTGCATCCCCAAGGCCACGTGACAGCAAAAACTGTGGAGTATCACTTTTGCGATGATCCATCATACTCCGTGCGCTCACGACGATACGGCAGAAATCCTTGCGCACAGACCATGTCGAGAAGCATTCAGGCTCACGTTGTGGACGAGCACAGCATCGACTTGGACATCCAAAACTGCGCCTTCACTTTATTGTTTCAGATTCTGCAACAAGCTAGTCCTAGCCCTCCAAAGACGGACGACCTTCAGAACTTTCTGGAAGAGCTAGCTTGGCGTCGCCAGGACGTCATTGCTAGACTGCCCACGACAAATGCCGAAGGCAAAGAGCTGTTAAACGTGGTGCTGAATGGGGGCAATGCTCCGAACAACCTGCAAGATCATCCAGATATTCAAAAACTGCAGCAGATATCCGTTTATTTCAGGTGGCTGGCTTGCAATCTGCTATACGACGACTACATGTCTCTGAAAGACAACCCAAAAAAAACATTTCCAACGGCGAGCATGCTTTCGCTGATGTGGACGGCGGTTGAGGATTGGATCCTTGATGTTTGGAGTGAGTATGTACTTTCTTTGAGCCCGCAACCGCCTGCGCATTTATCTCTGCATTTCGATGGTCTCAGGATTTCCAAAAGTTTCGTTTCCGATGAAAGTGCCTTCATCGCTTCGTGCGAGCAGCATATTGCTGAGAAGACTGGGTTCAAGGTCAAGATTATTCGGAAGCGTCTCAAGTGTGTTTTTGATTGCTTTCGAGACGACGCAGAGACCTGCACGCTCCTGACAAACGTGCCTGAGGTTTGCATGGCCAGGGGCAATTGCATTCCGTGCTCGATGTGGCACGCAATGCCCTTTCTTCGCTCAGGCATCGAGGCCGCTTTGCAGGATCCAGACAAGAAGGCCAATCAAGATTTTGAGACTCAAGGATGCAGAGAGTATGGTCAGACGGCGAGCTTGCTGGGTGCAAATCTAATGTGTTGCGTTGGGCTTCCGCCAGAACGTGTGAAGTCATTTTTGCTTCACAGTGAAGATTCAGGAATGCCTCATTGTGTGGCAGTACAGACAAACGCCGACGGAACTTATTATTCAGTCTTTGACGGCAACAATGTCAGACGACTGTCGTCGCAAGCATTCCGTTCAGCAATTATCACAGGCACAGACGGATCCACTGTGGTATCTTTCTGGCAGAGAAGAGGACAGGAAAAAATCAATCTTGAAGCGGCGCTTCTGCAGCTTCGGGCCGGCGCGTCTTCTACGTCGAGCAGTGATGACGAGGAGGCTCAGCCACTTCCTCGAGAATTTCTCATTGACGAAGATGGTGTGGTGTCATTATCGGACAAGATATTGGATGCGTTGTGTTGCGAGGTAGAACATGTCTTGTCAGATCTGAGCAAATACATTCAGCGACAAGACGGCAAAGCAATTTGTCCTTTCTGTCCCTTTCGATCATTCAAGCAAAAGAGACTTCTGGCGCATCACATCCACAAGCATCACACGAAGGAGAAGCAGTGCGTGTGTTCTGGCACGAAACAAAAGAAAATCATTTATGCGTTACACGATTATGCAGCAGCCATGCAAGAGACTCCGCGCAACTCGTATCTTCAAGACAGTGCCAAAATAATTCGCAATAGCGTGCATCCACCGCTGAGCGACAGACAAAACAACATCGACAAGGAGCTGCGCTTAGTGCTACGTTCCAGTGGGCCCGCATATATCAATGCCACTTGCATTGATACAGATTGTCAGCTGAGAAGAGTTCGGAATATTTACTATGATCACAGCTTCGCGGACATGCTGCTGCAGGAGATAATTTTGCATCACGGTCAAGACGCTTGTCTGACAAAAACAATTGTAAGCTTGTTGTAGTTTCTGCAACACCGTAGAATAACATGCTCGCTAAAGCAGCATCGCTAAGTCTGCGTGCTCAGGTGAAGAGTATATGGCCTCGTTTTCATATCGCCGCACATGACTCCGGCAATCAACTTTCTGCACTCCTTCCGCGGCATGTAAGTTACTGGTTGCCTCTTCTAGAAGATGTTTCTCAGTCGGAAGCTTTTCAGGAGCAGCTTTCCGTCGTGCGCAGATCCTTGGAGATTAACAAGGAATGGCTATACGTCAGCCTTGACGCAACCATGAAGCTTTGCATGAAGCTGTGTGGTCAGGAGTCATACAGAAAACCTAAAAAAGTTCGCGATGCAGCGCCTTTTGGAGATGACTGCGCTTGGAGAAGACTGTTGACGGTTCGGGGCAGATCTGGCGCCGTGCTTATGCTTCACCCGCTTGTCTCGGAAAAGTCCGAGCTCATCGTTTCAGCTTTTCGCGCGGGCTTCGCGTCCAATCAGCTGGAGATGATACAGTACATAGCGTCCGACAGTCCCTCGTCGAAATTGTTTGCGGAAGCAAAGCAGATCTGCGTGAACTTGGCGGGCATTTGCTTGGATCCAATTCATCTTGCCATCGTCTACGAGTACGCGCAGTGGAATAAGAAGACAGCAGGCTCAAAAAAACTCCGACTTATTTTGAAGAAGGTGCTTGCAGTGAATCCCCACATCATTTCAAACTTTGAGCAAAGCCTTTTCACTGGAGAGTCTTCCAGGCCTCTCACATCCGACGAAGAAGAAGCCAGAGCTCAGGTACAGGACCGCAGCATGGATGTAAACGACGCCAAGCAGCTCCTGCAAGAAATCGATGTCCGTGAGCCGTTTCAGACGAGGGTGCTTTTTATTCGATACATAGCAGCGATCTGTGCACTGTATCCGAAAGAAGTAAGCAGAAAGGTCACGGGCGCAAACAAAGAAGTTTACAGAGTGCTGTGGTCGGCATGTGCGCCGGATCGACTTGAATGGCTCTTCAACAACATCAGGATTCGTCACAAGGTGCCCAAAGAAATTCTACCCTTTTTACCAAGTGGGACATCGTCGAACGAAGCACTCCACGCCGAGATCAATTCCTGGAATCGCAGCACGCAGGCATTGCACAGATCGACTCTGGAATTGAAACTGCGTTTTTACACTTACATTAAACTTCTGGCGCATCACCTAGCCACTTGCTTCCCGACTTCCACACTGACAACAGAAGCAATACTTCTGGCCAGAAGTGTAAATCGCAGCCTATGGTCAGCGAAGGCGTGGTCTGATTTCTGTGAAGAACAACAGGGCACTCGCAAAAGACAGAGCAAAGCTCGTCTTCCTTTGGCGACGGCGAGGGAGTGTGAGAAGAGCCTCGTAAAAAAATGGCTGTCAAAAAAACCAGCCAAAAAGTCTTTTCCGAAAGCGAAAAGACAGCATGTAACTCCTTTGAACGCGCCGCGAGCGCACAAGATGCGCCGCACCGGAGTCAAGTCATCTGAAAGATTTGACGTAGGCACGTAGGAGTATCTGTTTCACGCACGCAAGATGCGAACTATAAGATAAGAAAAAATGCTCGTGTGAGATGTCAGACGGTTTATCATTTACATGTTTTACTTCGTCTGGTTGAGTCCACAGCGCATAGATTTCGGTTTACAGCTATAGCAGGGAGAATCTTCAGTGTTAGCAATGCACTGCCCTGTATGCCGCGACGGCGTGTCCACGTGGGTCTACGTCTTACTGGATGTTTTTCGCATTCTTTCTTGTAGCCGACGGAGCATTTATTTTCCTTGTACTGCAGGTCCGAGTGTATGGAGCGCGGGGCAACGACGATTGCCCGATCTGTTTAGAGGCAGGTTTTGGCACAAAGTCGAGATGTAATGACTGTCATGATGAATATCTGCATCCCAAGGAGAAGAAGGACCTCACGGCGCTCGTCCCATGCGGACATTCTTTTTGCTACCAATGTGTGCTTGACATGCAGGCTGTTTTCTGCTATGTGAGACTTGTATAATATTCATAAAAACAAATGGATTGGACTTTGTGTTGCATGAGCGTGCAGCAGGCTCCCAATCAGGGCAGCGAGAAGCTCAGACTAACATGCAGTGACTCGAAGCAAGCATTTGTTTTTAAACAATAAGGTGCTGCAAATGACGCACAATTCCCCGACGGACTCGAGGTGGACCTATCTGAAGATCTTTCATTTTTATACCTTGGAGATTTTCAGCTCAGGTGGTAGACGTCTGGAACGACTGGCAGGCTGTGTCGTTCTTTTGTTGGTCATGATTCTGACTGCTTTTGATACATGTTTACAGGAGGATATCCTTCCTTTGACCAATGAAGCCAGTGTGATCAACACAGAGGCTGGAGTCCCTGTTCGTGCAGTTGAAAGAGTAGCGTGTTTCTGTCTGCGCATTCATGATCGCAGGCAGGAGACACCTCACATATCGTCCTTATCTTATTTTTTTTGGCTGCCGTGCATGTCGTTGTGATAAAGCATAGACTATCACTAACGATCTAGAGACATAAAGACAATAGATAGCTGACTGATGATCCAGGCCGTCAACGTTCCTTTCGAGTGGTGCGGTCGGAAGCCTCAATAAGACACGCGCAAGAACTGTTGGAAGTAGTGTTTGTACCTCTCGCAATGTTGAGGTGCCATTGTGAAGTGGGACAGTAGTCCCAATCTGTTCTCCGAGGCAAGCAGTTCATGTCGAAACTTCACGAATCGCTAGTCCAACATCAAGAATTTATGCTTCAATATTTTGCACGAGGTCATTTTGGTACACGCCCACTCTGACGCCTTGTGTAGGCTGGGCAATTACAGTGTTTCACCTCCTTGCCCTCCTGGATTCCAGGCACGTTGGAGGAATCCATCTAATCGTCACAATCGACGATGGGCCCTGGAGTGATGTTATCTTATTTTTACCTATTCGAACAATTATTTGGCAGTATTTTACTATCGCAAATTAGTGCTTTGTGTAAGTACAGTATATCGGTATGGCCTATCGAGATTGTGGCTGAGCATGATTCTTCAGTGACTGCAGCGATGAAAACTTGCAGATTCAAGACTTCTGCATCACTTGCCCAGATGCGGCATGCCTCTTTCGGACACATTCACCTGCAATTTAGTTGCAGAGAGGATGCTTCTGCTCATGCCGA